TATTAGAGTTCATGTTTTATGGTGCATTCAAGCTTCACTATTTATTTTTTATTTTCGACCTTTAAAGGGCACCAGGCGTTGAGCATGATATAACACAAGCTAGTAATGAAGGCAAAGTTGACCTCGGCCTCCTACTCTAAAAGATGAATTATTGAGGATTTTCTTTTTCTATCTTGACTATAGTATTTATATTGACCTAGACGGAAGCCAAGTGCCAATATCAGAACACCTATAAGAATTCTTAGGAGATTGAAGAGAGTAGATGGGGAAATCAATTGTATGTGTTTAGGTGAGTAAGGAATATGAGCAGAACTATACCACATGTTACTTAACGCTTAAGACAGTGTGTTTTCCCTTAATATGGTAGAGTGGTTCTGTAGGATATCTCGTAGTTTCCAAAGATGGTTTGTTATTTAATTATACATGTTGCATGTTCCATAACTTATCTATTTGTATGTCATTTGCCCTTTGTGGATCACTTTCTCACATGTTACCTAATGTCATAGAATTCTTACATGTAAGTGTTATCCGCTTCAGAGTACCCTTGTTTATTGTTATATGTTTTTGTAGGACCATTTCCTTACATGTTATTTATTGTACTGGTTACTTTTCACATGTCACTCGTCCATATTGTGTGGGTACTGCATGCTAATTGATCATATGCTATGGGAAAAATTAGTGCTCGTGGGTTATATGACTCACATATCACTTGTTTACATGTCATATGCATCATAAACCATTTCTATGTATATTACATGCCTCGTAGCCTACTTGGTTAAACATTACAGGCCTTATAGCTTTTCTAGCCATGTGTCATGTGTTCACTTGCTCATAATTCATAAGTGTACTTATTGACATGTTAGGTCACCAATCCATGCAGTATAATGCACTTGATCAATGTGATTTGTGTTCCGTAGTTCATGTTTCATATAGTATACTTGCTTACGTATTATATATTTTGTAGCTTTAGTACTCATGCATCATGCGTTCATCTTGTCCATTTCCTACATTCCTTATAGTTCATTCTCTCACACGCTACCCTATGAACCATATGCATGCGTACACCATATATTTCTATAGCTTAATGCCCATATATTATGCGCTCCCTTTTGTGCTAATCTGCCTATATGTCATACCCAATGTGACTTATTTATTTGTACACTAAGCCCCTCTGTGAATATTGACTTAAGTTTTGAACATTTTGGGAAAACATTTCCTTGTATCATTATGTAATGAAGATTTTGACCAGAAAATGTTGGGCATATATGTAAATTTTATCACAACCATAGATAAATAACTTAGCATAATGCCTTATTCGAAGGTGTGGCATAAAACTTTAGATTTTATATTAACAGCTATGCGTTCTTATAAGTCTCACCTCTGAAAAGTGTCATGAGATAAAAGAGAAGGGAAAGTAGATCCCCGATAGGTTAGACCTATGATTTTGTGTTCATTCCATATACGAAAAAATTGGGAGATTCTATAGTTATTCTTGATTGTTAAGTCTCGGAAGCTAAGCTCAAAATGTGTAACCTCCATTGAAGTATTGTGGAAGCAATAGAATATAACATAAGATACTTGGGAATAGAAGATGGTAGAGATCCTAAGTACCCCTTCTCATTCTAAACATCAACATGAGGATCTGAGATCATGTGGTCCCCCTATATGATCATGAATCCTACTAGCATTTGTTCATTTGATATGTCATTTGCATGTCTGGTGCTTAGGTATATTAAAGTCCTTATTTGTATGAGTTCTACTTGTGTATATTCAGTGAATTACATGGTCAAGAAAGGGGTTTAATTTGTCATATTATTATTTTAGGAACCATATCTATTGAGACTTCATGCTAGACTTGTCTATACGTATTTTAGGTTAGTCTATGGATTTTGGATAGTCCTATTTATAATGGCAACTCTCGAAAATCTCCAAATGAAATTCCAAGGTTAACCAAACTATCAGCTTCACCCATCATTTGAGGATGAATGATCATAGGGGGGGGCATGTAACACCCCGTATTCTACGTGTACTACTTCTATTTATATGACGCTTAAAAATTTCCTTGTGGTATCGTTATGGACTTGGTTTCCTATGGAACTAGTGACAACATAATAGATTTAAAGTGAACTGTCCATAGATTTTAATGTGACCCAATTAAGTTGAAGTCGATGGAAATATTTAAACTTGAGATCATAAGGTGGTATTTCAGTCTAAAGTTTAAAGTGACATAGTGTATATAAGTTTTAAGTTAAGTTAAAGGTATTAAGGTCTAGAAATGGAATAAAATATTGAGGTGCTTGCTTGACTTCACTAATCTAGTAGATGACAAGTAGGTGCATCACCTACTTTGACTTATTGACCAGCCCAAAGAACCAAGTAGGTGCATCACCTACTAAGACTCTTTTGACCATGTTATTGGGCCAAGTACACTACACCTACTTGAATTAATCTGGCCCAAGTTGAATAGAAGAATAAGGTTAAAATGGACTGCCAAGGCCCAATCTTTCCAAGCCCACAAGAAATAATTTGAATGGAAAAGTAGGTGCATCACCTACTTAAATGTGTGGCCTAAATTAAAGACACATGTTTGGCTGCAAAAGAAGTACAATAAAGGTGGCAAAAGGCCCAAGTGAAAAGTCCAAGTAGGTGGGTCACCTACTTGAAAAATTATGGCCCAAAATGAGTGAGAAAGTCGGCCAAAGCAGGTCCCTTTAAAAGGGATTGATATAAGCTTTTTCCAACCATTTTTACTTTGCCAAAAATCTAATTTCTAGAGCTTTCTCTCTTCTCTCTCTTAGCTTCATACAACAACCATTAAATACCATTAGGGTTCTTGAATATTAGGGAGTTCAAGATATTGTAAGGTATAATTTAAGACAAGTTAAGGAGGACAACCTTTACCTTGAAGAATCCAAGTCTTAGCAAGTCGTAGTTCTGTCCAGCAAGGTAAGCTATTGCAATTTTCTCCCACTTGTGCTTGAGCTAATTAGGACACTTGGTATGTGTTAGTGAGTTGGAAATTGTTACTTTTACATGGTGTAATATTGGGGAGGATGTTCTGGTGATTAGTGCATGTTGGGACAACCATAGAGGGGAGTCCTCTTTAAATTCAGTCATGAGCTTTTTTGAGCACCTTAAAAGTAATGTTAACTCTTCAAGTGCTGGTGATCAGAAACCATGGTTCATATTTCTTCTATAACATTATTATGTTTAAGGATTGTTTTATGTATGTTATGATAAGGGATGTGAATGGATGTGCGGGAAAGTTATGGAAACGTTAAAGGACTTAGATATTGCAGGGAGGTTTGGGGAGGACCTGATACGAAGGTTGTATAGTATATAGACGTGATTTAAGGGAAAGGGAAGGAAAGAAAACATTGACTAGACAAATTGCATGCTTACTGCTTGGTTAATATTTTGGTGAGATCAAGTAGCTCAAATTAATTGATTAGCTACTAATACTAGTCTTACAACTTATTTTATTGTAGATTAGTAATCTGAAGAGAATGAGCTTAAGTCATACTTTTTGAATTGTATAGCAAGGTATGTAAGGCTATTCAATTTCCTATTTCTTTGGCATGAATCCAACACTTGCATTACAAAAAGTAAGCTTTCTAAGTGCCCTTGGTATTGACTGATCCATAGTTGCAGTTCCTACTCCTTAGAGCATTAAAAGTGAGTACTCTAATATGAGTTTGTTACTAAATGTACATGCTTACTCTACCAAGTATTAGCATGCAAGGTTTAAATTTGTTTCACCGTCAAAGTACCCTTGGCACGTATTTCCCTTATATAAATCAAAATGATCCTAGAATACACATGGTACATATGTTTGTATGTTGGATATACAATCTGCCCATATCATGCCAACTTGCTTAAATTATCTATATATATGTCATCTTGTCACATAACATATGTTCCCTTTATTGGTTATTACTCCCATTGTGTTAGACTATAATGTTACGTCACAAGATCCTTTATTGGTTATTACTCCCATTGTGTTAGACTATAATGTTACGTCACAAGATCCCTACTTGCTCTGTTGTACATTTTATATGTACTTACTTGGAATATGTATCCATACTTAAGTTGCATCTGCCAACGTTCTCCCTTGGTTCTACTTTCATGTATACCTTGTATTTGATATTAGTTAGTGAGTATCCGGCTACCATATAGAGTTCAAATCTCTTGACTGAATGTTAAATGTGTTCATTTGATATGTGCTTCAATTTGAGATGTCAAAATGCTTAACTGAGTCATATGCTCCTAAGTATTACATGTTCATGTCACATTTGCTTCCCATGTCATTGTTATTATCATAAGTCCATATTCATATGTCTTCTACTACTGGTCCATAGTTCCAAATCTCAACAATGATTATGACCACCAAAAGAACAATCTCAAAAGAGATAATGATCATTAAAAGAACAATCTCAAAAGATTATGATTATACAAAGAACAATCTCGAAAGATTTATGAACATAAAAACAACAATCTCAAAGATAAAGAATTTAAGTGAAGCTATCTGTATAATTATGGGTGGCAGCCTAGGGGCAAATGCCTAGCATGGGTCGATCCCAATTGGTATAGAAGGGTGGCAGCTCAGGGGCGAAAGCCTAGCATGGGCCAATCCCAATTGGTATAAGAGGGTGGCAGCTCAGGGGTGAAAGCCTAGCATGGGCCGATCCCAATTTGTGGAATTATGAGGACAGCATCCCAGGGGTTAAAATACCTAGCATGGGTCATCCTCTTCTACCGCTGATCAACTGGTCATTTGTATCATATGTCTTATAAATATTATAATGCAATGAAAAGTAAAGAAAAGAATGTAACATACACGATTCCACAAGTATAAGAAAATGTGGTCTCTAATTCTTATCTATTGCTATATGGTTTCACTTGAGCTCTCATTTTACATATGGTTGTATTATTCCTTACATATTCAGTACATTATTTCGTATTGACGTCACTTATTGGGAATGTTGCATTTCATGCTGCAGGTACAAGTACTCAACTAGTAGATCTCCCTAATAGAAGCACATGATACTCAGTGGTTGTTGGTGAGCTCCAGGTTAATTCGGGGATTTGCTGAGTCTTTACTATGTGTATTTCATAGTGGTACATTCATGGATCCACTAGAGGCTTTGTAGACATTATAAAGCTATCATATGTATTCATAGTTTCACTTGTCACATGTATCGGTTCAGCTAGTCAATATGTGTTGTATATGAAGCTTCTCATCAGTAAATCTATCTGCATAGTAGTTACTTTCTAATCATAGGTCACTTGTAAAACATGTGTTTATATGGTACTTGTCCGCCTTACCTAGGGTTGGGGTGTGACATTTTCTTAGTAAGATTTTAATGAAGTATATTATCTATGGACATCCAAGAGGGAGTGTTATAAAATAATATATTGTGGACGTCCACTACATCAAGAAGTTACTCCATTACTTTCCTCCATTATGAAGATAATCATAATCTCCATAACCTCCACAACTTCCACCTTTATAACCATTATTCTTGTAACCTTTCACTTCCATAATCTCCCCCCCATTATATTCATGTTAATGTCATGTTTATGACAAACCTTTTGTATGCCTTTACGTTACACTATAAATAATGGCATAAGGGTTCATAATGTAGATATTTGAATACTTTGAAGAATAAGAAATACTCTTATCTCGTATCTCCCTATTTCTATTGTTTTCATCTTCTATATCTCTTGTCTTCATCTTTATATTCTTATTTTGCTTTAGTTTTACAACATTTATGTCTTTTTCTTGATTTTTATATTTTTCGGACGTTTACGAATTAAATTTTATTATATTTTTTGGGCAGTCATGAAAAAATGTGAAATATTGATATTTTATTCGTATCGATATACTAGGTGACAGGTGCGATTCGTGAATTGTTTGATGTGTTTTTATGTCATTTTTGTTTGATTTTATATTTTCAGACGTTTATGAATTAAATTTTTTGATATTTTCCGAGCAGTCACGAAAAATGTGAAATTTTGATATTTTATTCGTATCGATATACTAAGGTGACTGGTGCGATTCAAAAATTTTGAGGTGTTTTTATGTCTTTTTCTTGATTTTTATATTTTTCGGACGTTTACGAATTAAAATTTTTGATATTTTTCGGGTAGTCATGAAAAAATGTGAAATTTTGATATTTTATTCGTATCGATATTTTAAGGTGACTGGTTCTATTCAGGAATTTTTTGAGGTGTTTTTATGGCTTTTTCTTGATTTTTATATTTTTCAGACAAAACGAATTAAATTTTTTTAATATTTTTTGGGCAGTCACGAAAAAATGTGTAATTTTGATATTTTATTTGTTTCGATATTCTAAGGTGATGGTGTGATACTAGAATTTTTTGAGGTGCTTTTATGTCTTTTTCTTTATTTTTATATTTTTGGACGTTTACGAATGAAATTTTTTGATATTTTTTGGGGATTCACGAAAAAAAGTGAAATTTTGATATTCTATTTGTATCGATATTTTAAGGTGACTGGTGCGATTCGGGAATTTTTTGAGGTATTTTTATATATTTTTCTTGATTCTTATATTTTTTGAGCGGTAACGAAAGTCTCATAAAAATTTGAGATTTTATTCGTATCGATATTCTAAGGTGACTTGTGCAATTTGTGAATTTTTGAGGTGCTTTTATGTCTTTTTCTTGATTTTTATATTTTTTGGACGCTTACGAATTAAAATTTTTGATATTGTTCAGGCAGTCACGAAATTTTTTGAAATATTAATATTTTATTCGTATTTATATTCTAAGGTCACTGGAGTGATTCGGAAAATTTTTGAGGTGTTTTTATGTCTTTTTCTTGATTTTTATATTTTTCGAACGTTTGCTAATTAAACTTTCTGATATTTCTCGGGCAGTCACGAATAAAATGTGAAAATTTTGATATTTTATTGGTATTGATATTCTAAGGTGAAAGGTGTGATTTGAGAATTTTTTGAGGTGTTTTTATGTCTTAATTTTTGTTTTTTTTGGACGTTTACGAATTAAAATTTTTGATATATTTTGGGCAGTCACGAAAAAATATTAAATTTTGATATTTTAAGGTGACATGTGCGATTCGGGAATTTTTTGAGGTGTTTTTATGTCTTTTTCTTATTTTTATATTTTTTTTTCGGACGTTTACGAATTAAATTTTTTGATTTTTTCGGGCAGTCACGAAAAAATTTGAAATTTTGATATTCTATTCGTATTGATATTCCAAGATGACTGGTGCGATAAAGGACTTTTTGATGTGTTTTATGTCTTTTTCTTGATTTTTATATTTTTCGGACATTGATAAAAAAATGTGAAATTTTGATATTTTATTTGTATCGATATTCTAAGGTGATTAGTGCGATTTGATAATTTTTAAGGTGTTTTTGTGCCTTTTTCTTGATTTTTATATTTTTCGGACATTTACGAATTAAAATATTTGATATTTTATTAGGCAGTCACGAAAAAATGTGAAATTTTGATATTTTATTCGTATCGATAATCTAAGGTGACATGTGCGATTCGGGAATTTTTGAGGTGTTTTTATGTATTTTTCTTGATTTTTATATTTTTCGGACGTTTACATTAAGTTTTTTGAAACTTTTTGGGCTATCACGAAAAATTTGAAATTTTGATATTCTATTCGTATCGATACTCTAAGGTGACTGGTGTGATTCGGGATTTTTTTGAGATGTTTTTATGTCTTTTTCTTGATTTTTATATTTTTCGGACTCTTCCGAATTCAACTTTTTGATATTTTTCGAGCAGTCATGAAAAAATGTGAAATTTTGATATTCTATTCGTATTGATATTCTAAGGTAGGTGGTGCGATTTGAGATTTTTTTGAGGTGTTTTTATATGTTTTTCTTAATATTTATATTTTTTGGACGCTTACGAATTTAATTTTTTTTATATTTTTTGGGCAGTCACCAAAAAATGTGAAATTTTGTTAGTTTATACGTATCAATAAACTATGATGACTGGTGGGATTTGGGGATTTTTTGAGGTGTTTTTATTTCTTTTTCTAAATTTTTATAATTTTCGGACATTTACGATTTAAAATCTTTGATATTTTTTGGGCAGCCACGAAAAAAGTGAAATTTTGATTTTTTATTCATATCGATATTCTAAGGTGACATGTGCTATTCGGGATCTGTTTGAGGTATTTTTATGTCTTTTTCTTGATTATAATATTTTTCGGACGTTTACGAATTAAACTTTTTGATATTTTTTGGGCGGTCAAGAAATAATTTGAAATTTTTGATAATTTATTTGCATCGATATTCTTAGGTGACAGGCCGGATTCGGAAATTTTTTGAGTTGTTTTTATGTCTTTTTCTTTATTTTTATTTTTTTCGAACATTTACGAATTAAATTTATTGATATTTTTCGGGCAGTTACGAAAAAATGTGAAATTTTGATATTTTATTCGTATCGATATTCTAAGGTGACTGGTGCGATTCAGTTATTTTTTCAGGTGCTTTTATATTTTTTTCTTGTTTTTTTTATATTTCTTGGACATTTACAAATTATAATTTTTGATATTTTTTGGCAGTCACGAAAAAAAATGAAATTTTGATATTTTATTCATATTGATATTCTAATGTGACTGGTGCGATTTGGGAATTTTTTGAGGTGTTTTTATTTTTTTTCTTGATTTTTATATTTTTCGGACTGTCACGAAAAAATCTGAAATGTTGATATTTTATTTGTATTGATATTCTAAGGTGATGGTGCGATACCGAAATTTTTTGATGTATTTTTATGTCTTTTTTTTTTTTTTTACATTTTTCAGACATTTACGAATTAAAATTTTTGATATTTTTCGGACAGTCACGAAAAAGCGTGAAATTTTTAATATTTTTTTTGTGTCGATATTATAAGGTGACTGGTGCTATTCGGGAATTTTTTGAGGTGTTTTTATGTCTTTTTCTTGATTTTTATATTTTTCGGATGTTTACGATTTGAGTCTTCCTTTTTCTGAACTAGAGATCTGGTAGCAATGTGGCTGCAATGGTGAACATCATTAGTAAAATCAAGACTTACACCTCTTTTCTTTGTAACCAAGTGTTCCAGAGCTTCCACCAGTGGAATGTTTACTGAAAGCTGCTTCAACATGGTAATGAATTTTGTGAACTTCCCATCTTCAGCTTTCTTTCTAATCCTTTGAGGGAAAGGGGGAGGTGGTATGGGAATCTACTGTAAAGGCAGGTTTTCCTCGACCTCTTTCTCTTTTCCTCTCGAGGGTTGTGATTTATGCTGAACCTCCTTCGAGTCATCTACATGTACGGTTTCATCCTCATCTCTGCCAGTTTGCTCCAAGACCTGTTCATGTTTGGTACCTGCATACATAAGGTCAGTAAGAACTTTACCACTCCTGGTGGTGATTACCATGCAGTGCCCGTCCTTCTTAGGATTCTGTATGGTGTCACTTGGTAGTGATCCATTCTTCCTCTGATTCAGTGAGGCTGAGAGTTGTCCCAACTGCTGCTCAATTTGTTTAATGGAGGTCGTGTGAGAGTCCACCAACTGACTCATGCTTGAGAAATCACCTCTCATTTCTTTTACCCCTGCATCAGTTGATTCAACCTTGTGAAGTACTTTAGCCATCAGATCTTCCAGCTTAGATCCGCTGGAACTAACACCTGCCCGGTCTCTATTGCCTGGGGTCATATAAACACCACTGCGATCATTCCTATACCCATCTCTGTTTTGCCAGTTTCCTTGATCTCTTTTTGATGGCCTATCATACTGACCATCTCTAGCATAGTTCTGACCTGCGTTTCCAGAATTGTAACCCTAATTTCCAAAGTTATAATTCCGAAAACCACCTTGGTTCCCCTGGGATCGCTGCCAACTGGGACTGCTCTTCAGTCTTCCTGAATCACCGAGCGTGAGTCCTTCTGCTCGAGCACATTTTCTTGCCTTTCTGCGGAAGCAATTCCCAATCTCTGTTCCAGGTACAAGTCAAGTTGAATTTACAAAAAAAAATTCAGTGTTAGAAGTATTCAAATCCATAAATTCACTACGAAACAAGGCCGGAACCAATTTGAGACTTT